TGGATATTTTATCTCTCCCATGTACAATAAAAACCTTAATCATACCACAGAGTGGTCCTGTCGGCAGTTTCCTTACTACATCCCCAAGTGCTTAGTATTTGTTTCCTTATTAATGCTTTATTGACCGGATAAAAGACTCTCTGCTTATCCTTTTCCTGAGGAGCGCCTACTCATGCTTAAGACCCTACTTTAGTGGCACCTATTCTCGACATGAATTCTAATGCAGTGAATGTTTTCTAACAATTCCCCTGACAGTGAAGAGCATACTTCCATGGCATTGCTCACGTACCACTGATTATTTATTAATGTAGATGCTTATCTTCCGGCTCCTACATGAAGAATGTAAGAAATCTTTCTAAGTTTCTGTTTTCTATACCCAGATTAGGGCACTTGGTGAATATTTCTCCCAATTAACGAACATGCTCCAACTTAGACATCTCCTAAATGATTCTAATATTACTGATAAATAACCAAATTACATAAAATACTCTATACAGATGCCATGGATTCGTTTAAGAAAGTAAGGCTAAACTGCATCCTACAGAAAGCAAGTTAGAAGTTCAGAGAAAGCGCAGGCATACGTTATACTGTTTTCCTTTCCCTTTGTTCCAGCTTTTCCATTAGAGTGTAGACACTGGGGTTGAGTATTTTCATATTTTTGTATTAGACACGAAGTATGCATTTCATGAACATTGATTAAAATAAGTCTATGGCTATGCTTGGTCAACTTGACACAAGCGAGAGTCATTTGGGAAGAGAGAATGTTAACTGAGGAAATGTTCCCGTCAGACTGGCCCATGGGCAAGCCTGAGGAACATGTTCTTGGTTAGTGATTAATGTGGGAGTGTCCTGCCCATTTGGGGTGGTATCACCCCTGGACAGGTGGTCCAGGGCTGTGTGATAAAACAGGCTGAGAAAGCTGCAGGGAGCAAGTCAGTAGGCAGCACTATTCCATGACTGCTGCCTCAGCGCCTGCCCACAGGTCCTTTTCTTGACATCCTTCAGTACTAAAGCATGCCAAAGAGTTGAAATACGAAGCAAACTTGTTATTGAATAATAAGATAATTACTTGAATTCTTCCCAGATTTGGGATTATGTGAGCATGATAGTGATTTGAGTCATGGTGTTTATCACAGCAAAAGAAACCTTAACTAAGATGATAAGCAAGTCTTTCGATAGAGAGGGGAAACTAAATGAGGAGGAACACAAGATTTTCCCATAATATCCAGTAACTAAAAGTGTACAATTCGTCCTTGTTAGCATGGGCAGATAGGTTGTGATGGCCACCTGATACATTTGCTGCTCTAGAAGGTGGTGTTTTAGGAGGTGGCCAAGATTCATTCAAGACCAGCACCAGCACCCTAAATTCTTCCTAAGGAATAACTGATGAGTGAGCAAGGGCACCAGCCAGGAAGAGAAGGTTGAAACAGTTAGGCAGCAGGCAGCAAGTGCCAGGCAAAAGTGAGCAGGTTTTACAGCCTGATACTTTACTAGGAACACTGTGCTTCCGAAACGGCTATCTCAGATTGGAGGCCAAGGATGAAGAATACACTAACCTGAGAATGATACAGTCACATTCTGTACCCAGCAAGGCTGAACAGTCCTTAAAACATACACACACACACACACACAATCAAATCATCCAACAATAATACTGATATCCATCCATTTAGGGAGTCATAATTCACAGAACTGAAACTTTCGGGTGAGGATCAGAAAAAATGAATAACGGACCAGAAATACTTAAAATAAGAGAAAGAATTAAAAGCCTTTTATATGTATAACACGATCCTGAAAAGAATGCAAACGAAGAACTTAAATAAGATAATATGTGAATATTATAGTAAATAACTTAAGATACATTTGAGCAGGAAAAAATATAGGTCTGAAGCAGAGTTGTTTATCTTTCCTTTATAGGTACCTATATATGTTCGTATGTATATGTTGAGTCAATAAAATCAACAGCAAAGTACCACTTGATATTCCTCCCTCCATTCAAGTACAATAGTATTAGACATTTTTAAATGCCCAGTGAAGGGGAAACAGGATATATAGTACATGAAAAGTAAATCAATTGAGTCGAAGGAAGTATTTTTCCAATATATGTACTGTGAGATGGCAAAGTGCTATACTAAGTGAGGTTATTGGAATTTTTTCTTTTCAGTCTTAAAAGTAGGCCAGACACCCATATGTCAAAGATGGAGCAATGTGGTTCTGCCCAAGGGTAAGAGAAAGCAGTAAGATGATTATTCAAATTTCTTCCAGATTTGGAATTGTACAAACGAGATGATTGACAATGACAAGACATTGAATATCTACTTTTCTTCAGATTATTTTAAAAATAGTTTCAGAGTCAAAATTATACAAATGTGCAGTAAATCAGTTATTAGCCCAACCTCACAACTCGGGTCTCCAAAGCCACGGCTTCCTGTCCATTCCATCAAAGGAGGAAATCTATAAATGACTATAAAAAGACAAATGCTCAGAGGGTTAAGATGTAAACTGCACCCTCTGTCTTGTTTAGCTTCACCATGAAAAATTATTTTAATGTTGTCGATGGAATCAAAGCAACTCAGTCCCCTTGAAAGAAGCCTGCCGTCTGCTGTTCAGTAGTGATATGTTTTTAGAGACCTCTGAAGGTGTATCTCAGGGTTTCTAATTTAAGAGCGTGGAAAATGTCAGTCGCTGATTGGGAAAGGCCAGTTACATTTCATCACGGTAAAGAGGCAAGACTAAGGTGCACATGTTTGTGCCTCTTTGTGGAACTGTTTCATATATTGGGAAAAATGAAACAGCCTGTGACTTTTAAGGCTGGGGGTGGGGGTCATTCAAATATATAAGAGACATGTCTAATTTCCAAGAAGGGATTTTTTTTTGTTTATACCATGACAATAAATTTGAAAAACGTTAGGCATCTTACAACAGGTGCAATAAAAGAAATAAACATCAATGCAGATTTTAGTCAGGAGCTGAAAACAAGTCGAGAATCAACTTAACTGAGAGGCATAAAAAGAGGAGAAAGTGAATTGGGAGGACAGGGGTTATTTCGGAGTCTGATGATTAATCAATTCTTTATTTCTGTATTGCATTAGATTATGCCAATGTCTTGTTTCTGTTTTTGGCAATTGCGGGACATTTTGTTTTAACTCATCTATTTTATTAGCATAAGTAACCTCACATATCATTAAATTGTTCTTTTTGCAACTTGCTGCAAGGAACTTTGTATAATGCATGAGTAAAACTGGCTCCTTAATCATTCTAAAACTTCATTCTTTTGAAAAGACAAAAACCTCCAGTATTTATAGCTCTATGCTTCTATCACATCAAGAATCTATTCTAAGAAGAAGAAAGGTCTCATTATTATACTCAAGCACCAAAACTCCACATTAATGAAAATATTATCAGAATTTTAAGAATATTTTCTAGTCTTTGAAAATTATCTACCTAAAATTAAAGGTCCTTCAGATCAAAACAATGATTTAATATTCCCTTAGCTAGTAAGACATATGCACCTCTTCATTAATTGAATATTTTCCTTCATACGTTCCTTTAATGAGAACTATACACATACATTTCTTCCTGTATTTAGTTCCACCATTCGGTATATTAGATATAAAGACATATGTGTTGGAGGAGGGGCAAGGAACAAGAGAGGACTTCTTCAAATCAGCACATACTTTGCCACGAACACAGTCATTCTACAAATGCTGTCGCCACTGGTAGGTTTTAAAAAACTTAGTCACGTGCGCTCTACAAGTAACAGGGAGCAATGAAATGACAGCATGTGATTCACCAAAATGACCAACCAATTCTGCGATGAAAGCATGCCACAGCCCAGTCAGAAGTAAGAATAACTGCATTATATTTAACTAGGTGAAGTGTCTGTTGGCTGAACATCAAAGCGAGACACATCCCTCGACGGGCAAGTATGATTAATCAACACATCATGCATAGAGCAAGCATGCACACTCTCCGGCGAGGAGGAGACAGCAGAGTAAATGCTGACTTCCAAACGTCCAGAAGCCTCAGCTTACTCCATTGGTTGGCACGCTCGCGTGCAGGCACAGCGTCGCTGTGGGGATTACCTTCAAAAACCACTTCCTGCTTTTATTGCCACGGTCCCTAGGAAAATTAAGCTGAAGCACAAATACCAATTTGGAAGGCAACCTTCATTTGCAAGAACACATTCCTTCCAAGAAACCTGAACTGGCTTGAGTCAAAGTGACTTAATGTTAGGGTGCTTTGCCTTGTGTCTTCTCCCTGTACTGGTTTAAGGAGGCCATCCGAGGGTTTTTAACCTCCATGTAAAAAATACATGCCAGAGGTGGGAGGGCTTGGTTTGATTTTCACAGAAAATTATATTACATTTTTATATATGGCACGCCTAAATGTGCATGTGTGTATGTATATATGTATGTGCGTGTGTAAAGTTTTTAAGTAACAAACAATTTGGAATCATAAATAAAAGTGATTATCAGTGCAGCTTTGTAAGTGGCAACTTAGTTTCTTACCCTTGCTTGGGCAGTGTAAAGATAAAAGTTGGTGAATATGAAGCTTGTACCCCATAGACATGACAAAAGAACACGCTGTTAGGCTATTATATGTTAAGAAACAGATTAGAATTGAGACAAAAATATCTCTATTTTTGTACCAAAAATATACTACTACAAATAATATACCACAGAACAGAGACGAAACAAAAATCTTACTTTTAAAAACTCCCTTATTTCCCCCTTTGCCAACATACATTTATATACGCAGTCATTCCAAAGGGTCTCTGCAGTCAGAGGCTTATTTTCTCTGCAAGAGCAGGTAGCACAATGACACTTAGACACACTGTACGCTTGTGCACTCTGAGGTGACCTGCTGTCTCCCTTCAACTCATACTTGTGGTCTGAATCCAGAACAAACTCAGACGTTCCATTTCCAACCTTTCTAAGTCACTGCTGAGAACCCAAGAATCTGCCGAGCACAGGAGATGCCTTTAAATCCCCTCTTACCATGTATGAGCCACAGTGAAGCGACGTCGCTGCCGGATGCTTTTATTCACCAACAACTTTCTGAAAAAGCACGGCGAATTCCTCGGCGAACTGCGTGGAGAGATTTTGGGAGATGTAGGTCTGTTTCCCGGTAGCTTGGGAAGCTCCAGTTCCAAGTGCATCTGCTCCTTGAAAGTCTTTATGCAAACCTCGGGTTCAGAAGCAGTAAGTTCCTTGGAAGAATTTTTGGCTGTCATGTCTCGTAAGAAGCGCTAGCTTTCACCATCCAAAACAACAGCCTCCAGCATAGCAAAGACACCGCTGCAGGTTAAAGGGCTGCTCGTGAGACCAGAGCACACTCTTCCCCGGGCTAATTTGGGAAGCTGTGGTTCCAATCCTGGAGCTGTTCAGAACAAGAGCAGCAGACTGGGAGAATGGCAAGTCAGCCTGTCACAAGGAGCTTTATCAGGCTGCCTTTGCCTCTGAAAATGCGCCAAAGTGCTTCCTCTGTCACTAGCCTCTTTGTGGATGAGGTTTGTCTGCAAGTTACACACGGAGACTCACTGAACTCATTCAGCTGAATATATCAAACTCATGAAATATTCATGAGGGTTCTTGATAAGTCCTTCACAGTTTCCTTTTAAGAAAACCTTATCAAACAAGCTGGATTAACCCAGACAGCGAGCAAAGCCTGGCCACCCAGTCACTTTGGTTCGCACAAAAGGAGGAACCAGAGCCCCGTCCAGCATGTGCTGTTCAAAGTCTTCATTCAGAATTATCTGGCTCGGCAATGCACACAGCAGTGACTCCGCCTATCCAACGCTATTGGCCCGGGATTCTTTAAACAACTGAGCCATTTCTCCCCCTTAAAAATGCCCTTCACTGCTCAGACGTGCACTAAAATTGTGTGACTGCTGTCTTCGTCACAGTTCAAACTGTGACGAGTCAGGGATGGCCAAAAAGTCCCAGTGAAACAGCTTTTCAGATTGCATTTCTGAATCAAAGAGCCGATTCGCTGAAGGTCCCACCTTCTTTCTCTAGAAGATCCAAAACAGCATCAGTACTAAAAAAATAAATAACTAATAAAAACCCCTTCACTGAACAGGCTTTGGTTCATTCCCCCAAGGAATTTAAAACCTAATTTTTATTCCAATCAACATTACCCTCATTATTCTGCTTAAGTCCATTGTTTGGGATCTGCCCACAGAAGCCACTCGATATTGCATGCAAAGCCTCTTCTGCAGCCAAAACACCCCTCGTTTGAAATGGAGGTTAACAACTGGTAAAATATGCACCCAGGGAATGGACTCCCAAGTCAGGCACTGTGTGTGTGTGTGTGTGTGTGTGTGTGTGTGTGTGTGTGTGCACGCGCGCGCAGAGAGGTGCACAATGTGTGTCTGTAGGTGGCTGTGTGCACTCGAGAGTGAGTTTTCACATTTTTGTGAGGAGCACAACTCGGAATGTAGTTGGGGCATGTTAAGAATGAATCCTTTCAACCTGGCATTTTTATTTATTATTTTTTGGGGGGGATGGGAGCACAGCTCCAGACATTCAAAGGCTCGTTGGCGTATAAAGAGTATCACTGTACAGATGTCTCTGGGTGTTGTGCAGTCTGTATTGACAGTGATGGCCACTGGAGCCAGGTTGATCTCCAACAAAGGTGCTAAAGCAGTCTAGGGCTAATCAACAAGAGTGACAGAAAGGGAAGGCACGGAGCAGGACTTCAGTGAAAAACATTCCTTTACTAATGTGTAGTAGGGTCACCCAGCTCTCTAAAATCTTCCAGATATATATATCACACACTAAAAATGTGCTCAAGGTGAAAGGGCTAACCAAAAACCCGACTATTGCCTCTATGTAGGGGCAAAGGATCCCACCCACCATAAGGCTTGGGGAAGGGAGTGGAGCTTAAGCTAGTGATTCCTAAGCACCCCTAGCACTACTTACACGAAATCTCATCAACATTTAAACACCCAGCTAATGTACATTGTGAAAAAATGCACAGTCATGGAATTTTAGGTCGTCCCGGATGTTCCTTGTCCAGCCAATTATTCCTCAAACAAGGAAACAGCCAGAGGACTGAAAGGACTCACCCAGGTCCATCCTGGTGATTGATGTCCCCACCAAATCGCGACTCAGGCTTCCTGACTCCTGGTGAGTGTCTTTCAGTTCGTTTTAAAGCATGCTTTTTGTCTAGGTAGGACTGAGTGCATGCTTCTGGGTATCTGAGGATATTTTGAAAGTCTTGAGGAGACACATTGTTGGTAATATGGAAAAAATATGGCTGATGCTACCTACTATTTGCTGAGTTACGCAACAAAGCTGAGACTTTCACCCAAAATAATATGATTTAAAACTGGGACATGAGATTATCTGATTCTACCATGATTCACAGTGATCTATTAGCAATAGAAAATAAATAGCAAGTTGAGCTCATTAAAGCTGTTTCTCATATGTATCATACCATTAAAGCTATTTCTCATATTTATGTTTCTTGTTTTGTTTTGTTTTTTAAGACAGGGTTTCTCTGTGTAGCCCTGGCTGTCCTGGAACTTGCTCTGTAGACCAGGCTGGTCTCAAACTCAAAGAAATCCACCTGCCTCTGCCTCCTGAATACTGGGATTCAAGGCGTGCACCACCACTACCCGGCTCATATTTATTCTTCAAAGCCAAAAAATAAATACACATTTTAGGAATTTCTTCTCAGAAAAGATAATGGCAAATCTCATAGTCGTATATGGATAAGTATAAATTGAGGTTCTGATAAGATAATGCTGATCATGTTGCCATTTGATGGTGTTCCACGCCCGTGATTTCACTCTGCCAACAGGCTCAAAGATAGCCAAATCTACTAACCCCATCTACCCAAGAAGGAAGCCAGGATTACCAAGAGGGACACCTAAAACACAAACATTTAAAAGGTAATCAGACTGTTTGAAAGCCTGAGTTCCTCAGTGGGGGTTATGGTTCTCATGTTTATAGTGTTTGTAGATCAATGGAGAAAAAGGAAGGGCTGAGGTCCCAAGGCCACGTCCCCAGTGGCCTAACTTTCTTTCCTTGAACTTCAGTTCCCTAGGGCTATGACAAGCTAGACACCACGTCTTTCGTGGGAGATTGAAGACTCAAATAGCGGCATCCTGTACTTGACAAGCATTTAATGAAATAAAATGGAAACCTTCCTGTCCACATGCAATTCTTAGCCGTTGGTACCTCAAAAGGGGAAATAAGGAATCATTAGTTTGTAAGTATGTATTCTTAGGAAATCTTGAAAACTCCGTCTATAGCCTGTTTCAGTGTTAGTTAAATAAATTTCTGGTGTCAACATTCTGTCAGAACAATAGAATAAGGAATAAAATTAATTAGTCACTAACTGATGAACAATTATCTCTTACAAATATTGGGAACATATGAACAACATTTTAGTTGTTTTTAAAGCCATAAAGAAGGACCAAGTAATTGCTACCAACAAAATAATATTTATAACATAAGTATAGCACAGATTAAAATGTTTTAAAAACTCATCACCCTTTTATGAGCATATTTTTATATAGTATCATCTTTTATGCTGCTATAAATGTAAAATTTGAACTTCAAGAGTTGCCACTTGTAAAATTTCTTTGAGTATCATTTTCAGCTGGCCATTGTAAAACTAAGCAGTTTTTAAAGACACAAAGCTGAACTTTCTGTATCTTAGCACAACACTGAACTCAAAATAACACTGCTATAATTTGCTCTGCATACAAACTGAAGGTCTGAGATAAAAGAACATATTCAACAAGTTTCTTCTTAAAGAGTGTAGTTAAAACTAACAATAATAAGAGTTCATTTCTTAATTAGGTCTTTATCTATTTCTCTATCTAGTTCCTTCTTGTCAAAACAATATACCACCTGAGAACTGCCACTAGACTTCATTCAGCTAAAGGCACATCAATTCCTTTTCTTCAATCCAAGGCAAGGTAATGAGGAGGAATAATGCCAGCAAAGGCCCGTAGCCACTTCTGACCAATAAACAGTCAGTATGCTTTTCTGCAGCCGTATCGGTACAAATTACAATTTCAATGCTAAGAAACGGAGCTGGAGAATCATTCTAGCATGACTGAAAGAAACATAATGCACAACAGAATACAAAAATAGCTCCTATTCATCTTGGTAAAGTACAATTAACTGATACATATAAAGAAACTGCCATTGAAGTGGCATTGCAGGAAGCTTCCCGTTCCATTCAAGTGCTGGTATGTTCCAGCAGGCGAACAGTTTCATGCCTCCCTTTCATGATAAACAGATGACATCAAAGCCACTGGCATCCATTATCTCTAGAGCTCAGTTTATTTGTGCTATATTATAAACATTTCCACACGAAATAATGTAAGGCGGGGAAAGGAAAAGGCTTGCAGGCACTGGAGGTGTTCCTAACAGGTTAAAGACCTTGCTTGGCATGCTCATGGTCCTGAGTTGGTACCCAACACCCAAACAAGATATAATTATAATGTTCTGAGCTCCAAATACGGTAGTGTGGCTTATTATCCCCTAATTCTAGAATGTTCCATAGATGGCACACAATATCTCTTCACTGAATATACATTATCTTCTCCGTTTTCAAATCAGAGCATCAAGACACAAAATGGCACAATTAAGGAACTGGTCCTGTAGGTAAACGTGGGTCTTCACACTCTATAGCATAGATGATTATATGGCATCGGTGCTACTGAAGAAGGGGACGAGAATACAATAGAAGATGGGATGCTTGCTCTCCGGATGGGTCTGGTCATATTACAGGAAGTTTACTTTTTCAAGTACTAAATGTCTTGAGTCTTGAAGTGACCGTAGCATGTTATTTTCATTAGATGACCTTAAGGATTTGATTTTACCTGTAGGCTCACATTTAATTACTCACTGTTAGTAAAGTGGTGTTCAGAAAGATCAGTTTTCACCTGTGCAACCTGCATCTTGAGGAACAAAAACGGGAAGTCACATCACAGATTCTTGGGCAATCTTATGATTCTTAGAGATATGTTGTTAAGAAACAACTGCCTCTTCAGGGTCCTCCCGTAACTTCTCAGAACCCCGAAGAAAAACCACAGCAACCTCAAGGGTTCCATGTGCGTCTCTGCCCTGTCACTGGCAGTTCCTCTCTGGACTCACCTCTGGATTTTGTCCTCTAGCCCACTCTGCTCCAGATACGCGGTCTCCTTGTTCACTGAACATGACATGCAGGCTTCCCTTTCCCTCTCATATCTGCATGGCTTACCTCCTTGACTGCTACCATCTGTCCAGATAGCACGTGTCTGAAGGCTTTCCCCATCATCCTGTCTGACACTACAATGCCCTGCCTCACTTTCCTCTGTCTGTCAGGACGTAATATAGCACACACCATTTGCTTGCTGATCTTCCTAGAAATTTAAGTTTTATGAAGCAAACGGCTTTATTGTTTTCATCCCTATGATTCCTGTCTGGGAAGAATGCCTATCACATGTTAAGAATTTCGTAAGTACTAACTGGGTGAGGAAATTATCGGTCTTTCCAGTGCAGAAGAAAACGGGGGAAGAGAGCAGTCAAACGAAAATGGGAGCAACTCCCCCCTAAATTTGTGATTACTAATGTTTACCATTTTAATAATTGTTTTTGTTTAAACGTGTGAAATTTTTATTAACTCACTGAGAATTGTCTACAATGAATTTTGATCATAGTTATTCCTCACCCCTCCACCTGTTCCCCCAAACCCACCTCCCAGTCTC